CGGACCACAAGAGTTTGCAATACTTGTTCAAGCAGAAGGAGCTAAATTTGAGGCAGAGAAGGTGGTTGGAGCTGTTAAAAGACTATGATGTCACCATCTTATATCATCCAGGAAAGGCCAATGTGGTAGCCGATGCTTTGAGTAGGAAGTCAGCCAGCATGGGCAGTCTTGCGTATATTCCGGTCGGTGAGAGACCGCTTGCTTTGAATGTCCAGGCTTTGGCCAATCAGTTCGTGAGGTTGGATATTTCTGAGCCCAGCCGTATATTAGCTTGCACAGTTGCTCGCTCTTCTTTATTGGAGCGTATCCGAGATCGACAGTATGATGATCCTCATTTATGTGTCCTTAGAGACACGGTGCAGCACATAGATGCCAAGCAGGTCACACTAGGAGATGATGGAGTTTTGTGGATGCAGGGTCGTATTTGTGTGCCCAATATGGATGGACTTCGGGAGTTGATTCTAGAGAAGGCCCATAGTTCCTGGTACTCTATTCATCCGGGCGCCGCCAAGATGTATCAGGATTTGCGGCAGCATTATTGGTGGAGGAGAATGAAGAAGGACATCGTTGCATATGTGGCTCGGTGTTTGAATTGTCAGCATGTTAAGTACGAGCATCAGAGACCTGGTGGTCTGTTCCAGAAGATTGAGATTCCTGAGTGGAAGTGGGAGCGAATCACTATGGACTTCCGCTCCCACGGACTTAGAGGAAGTTCGATGCAATGTGGGTTATTGTTGATAGGCTGACCAAGTCAACACATTTCATTCCTGTGGCAGTCTCCTATTCTTTCGAGAAGTTAGCTGAGATCTATATCCGGGAGATTGTCCGTCTTCATGGTGTGCCTGTGTCTATCATCCCGGACTAAGGTACGTAGTTTACCTCACATTTCTGGAGATCAGTTCAACGAGAGTTGGGCACACGGGTTGAGTTGAGCACAGCGTTTCATCCTCAGACGTACGGGCAGTCCGAGCGGACTATTCATATTTTGAAGGATATGCTATGAGCTTGTGTTATCGACTTTGGGGGCTCGTTGGATCAGTTCTTGCCTTTAGCAAAGTTTGCCTACAATAACAGCTACCAGTCGAGTATTCAGATGGCTCTTTATGAGGCTCTATATGGTAGGCGGTGTCGGTCTCCGGTTGGATGGTTTGAGCCCGGAGAGGCTCGGTTGTTGGGTACGGATCTATACAGGATGCCTTGGACAAGGTCAGGATCATTCAGGATAGGCTTCGTACAGCTCAGTCCAGGCAAAAGAGTTATGCCGACCGTAAGGTTCGTGATTTGGCATTCATGGTCGGTGAGCGGGTATTGCTTCGGGTGTCGCCTATGAAGGGCGTGATGAGATTTGGAAAGAAGGGAAAGCTTAGCCCTAGGTTCATTGGCCTGTTTGAGATTCTTGATCGAGTGGGGGAGGTGGCTTACAGACTTGCGTTGCCGCCGAGCTTATCAGCCGTGCACCCAGTGTTTCACGTGTCCATGCTTCGGAAGTATCACGGCGATTCATCCCACGTGTTAGACTTCAGCACTATCCAGTTGGACAATGATTTGTCCTATGAGGAGGAGCCGGTAGCTATTCTAGACCGGCAGGTTCGTTAGTTGAGATCAAACAGTTTTTCTTCTGTTCGTGTTCAGTGGAGAGGTCAGCCTGCTGAGGCATCGACCTGGGAGTCCGAGTCCGATATGCAGAGCCGTTATCCCCATCTTTTCCCCGACTCAGGTACTTCCTTCTTATGTCCGTTCGAGGACGAACGGTTGTTTTAGAGGTGGAGGATGTGATGACCCAAAAAGTCATCACTTGTTTTAGAAACAAATTCAGTATTCCGAGGCCTAAAAACCTCCTTTTTACCTTACCTCGATTTGCGTGCGCAGTCCGGAAGCATAGCCGAAAAGCCATTATATGAAAATCTGTGAAAAATAATGAATTTTGCCTTTAAAATGAATTTAAGTTGACTTCGGTCAATATTTTGAGCAAATGGACCCGCATCCGTGTTCTGACGATCCCGGGAGGTCCTTAAGAAAATATGGGACTTGGGCGTATGCCCGGAATCGGATTCCGAGGTCCCAAGCCCGAGAAATAAATTTTTAAAGAAAATTGTTTTCTGAAAAATATATGAGTTTTTGAAAATGAAAAGTATTTGAAATTTGACGGTATTGGGCCCGTATTTTGGTTCTGGAGCCCGGTACAGGTCTTATATGTGATTTAAGTTGAGTCTGTGATGTTTGGTAAGAAACGGACTTGAAATTACGTGAATCGGACCTTATTTGAGAAAATTAGAAAAATGGATGTTCTTAAGTGATTTCATGATTTTGATGCTAAATTCATATTTGTAGATGTTATTTTGGTGATTTGAATGCACGAGCGAGTCCGTATGATGTTTCTAAGTTGGTGTGCATGTTTGGTTTGGAGCCCAGAGGGCTCGGGTGAGTTTTGGATAGGCCACGGAGTGGAATTTGGACTTAGGGTGTTGCAGATTTGAACTGGGGTGTTGCAGGCCTGCAGGCTTCGCATTTGCGAATCCTGGCTCGCAAATGCGAGTTCGCAAATGCGAAGGCTTTGTCGCAAATGCGAAAGAGCCCAGGCCAGCATAACCTCGCAAATGCGAGGAATTCATCGCAAATGCGATGTCCCCAGTTGAGGCCTGTCGTCGCAAATGCGAAAGTCACTTCGCAAATGTGAGCATAGCAGAGTCTGGGTTCGCAATTGCAAACCCTGTTCGCAATTGCGACATCAGAGACCTGTAAATTCATAACTTAGACGCATTTCAACCATTTTTCGCACTTTTTCAAAACCAAAACACTCTAGGGCGATTTATCAAAGGCAACTTCTTCTCCAAATCGATTGTAAGTTATTTCTAACTCGTTTTCTTCAATCTCTAACATCTTTTCACATGATTTCAACTCAAAATCAATGGTTTTCATGGGGGAAATTGGGTGTTTTGGGTAGAACCTAGGTTTTTCAAATTTTGGGAATTTGGACCTCGATTTGAGGTCCGATTTCAAAACAAATTGTGTATTTGAGTTCGTGGGTGAATGGGTAGTCAGGTTTTGGTTCGAACCTCGGGTTTTGACCATGTGGGCCCGGGGTCGATTTTTGATTTTTTGGGAAAAACTTTAGAAAACTTACTTCCATGCATTAGAATTGATTTATTTAGCATTTATTGATATAATTAAGTAACTTGTTGCTAGATACGAACGAATTGGTGGTGGAATCAAGAGGTAAAGCGATAGTTGAGGCTTGAACTGTGTTCGAGGCATCGAGGTAAGTGTTTGGCCTAACCTTAGCTTGAGGGATTAGGAGTTGTGTCCTATTTGTTATGTGATATTTGTTGAGTACGACGTATAGGCATGGTGACTAGTATCTATACGTTGGTGCCAAGCATGCCCGTGAGTCTTGTATTATTATTAAAATGATTCCGTTTGTATTGTTCATGCCTTTATGTGATGCTTTCTATTGTTGGGCAAAGTTTGTGGAAATAATGGTGATATTTGAATATTGAGGAGCGTTGGCTCGTGTTGTGAGGTGAATTGTGGAAGAATAATTGGTAACTGAACCTTATAGCATCGGCTCAAATTGTGAATCAAGTTGTGAAGTAAATGTGAAAAAGAGAAGAGGATTATTGTATTGTTCCCTTACGGGGACGTTGTTGCTTTTGAATATTGTTCCCTTGCCGGGATGTTATTGTCTTGATATTGTTCCCTTGCCGGGATTTTATTATGATTCATTTATTCCTTGCCCTTATTGTTTGTGTGAGGAAGAGTGTAAAGCACGAAGGGTGATGCCGTGCATTGTTTTGGTGAGAGAGTGTTAAAGCACGAAGGGTGATGCCGTTTATGATTTTTGTGAGGAAGAGTGTAAAGCACGAAGGTTGATGCCGTGCCGCACGATGTACCATTCCGTGCCGATTATATTGATTTTATGGTGAGGATGAGAGTAAAAGCACGAAGGGTGATGCCGTGCAGTTTATATTGGTTTTTATGGTGAGGATGAGAGTTAAAGCACAAATGGTGATGCCATGCACTTGTTTGATTTCTGATTCTTGTTGATAGTTGAATTGTGGTGTTCCCTATATTTACCTACTGTCTTCCTGTTGCCACCTAATATTTCCCCGCAGCATGTTTCCCTCTCCCATCTTTGACTGTATATTTCTGCTTTTATTTTTCTGCTGTACATTATTTATCTGCACAGGTTTATTTGGTAGTCTGGTCCTAGCCTCGTCACTACTTCGCCGAGGTTAGGCTAGGCACTTACCAACACATGGGGTCGGTTGTGCTGATACTACACTTTGCACTCTTTTGTGTAGATCCCAGTGCTGTAGATTTCGGACCGCAGTGAGATTTCTGCTCCTTGTTCATCAAGCGACCCGAGGTAGTCCTGCAGGCGTCAGCAGGCCTTGGGGTCTCCCTCTATCTATTATTCCTGTTTCTTTTATGTAATCCCAGGGACAATATTTTGTTATTTCTTTCAGACCTTTATTAGTAGTACTCTTAGACAGTCTGTGAAGTTGTGACACCAGTCTTGGGTAGATTGTTATGGATTGATATTTGTAGCATTATTACAACTTAAAATTTAGTCTTCCGCCTATTAAATTATGTTGTTCATTAACTGTTGGTTCTTAATTGTTAACGGATTTAAAATGGAATCAAGGTAATTAAATTCAAATGTTTGGCTTGCCTAGCTTTCACTAGTAGGCGCCATCACGACTCCCGATGGTGAAAAATTCGGGTCGTGGTATTATTTTTAATGTAATATATCAAATAGTCGTCACAAAATATATGCACTTAATCATCAAAGAGTTAGGTAGTTCCCAATATTACAATCTCTATATTATAGAGTGAGTGGCTAAACAGAAAAGAATGTAACGTAACATTGCTACATTAGCTAAGATGGCAAAGTGAAAAATTGGATAACAAAAGGCTAAGACGGCGCCACGTCAAGACAAAGCACCTTAGCCCACGTGTCAGCTTCTCAACAGCTGAAAACACTTGATACGATTCGTCACTTACAAACCAAAAATTTCCACTTGATGAATCTGAACGTGATGATCAAACCTCCTCTTTCTTTAACCAAACTCACTGCATCTTCTTTTATCACATTCCACTGCAAATTCTCCAAAACCAATATGCATTCTTCTTTCAGTGCCAGAGCCAGAGCCAGAGCCACAGCCACTGTTCAACATGTCCCAGAGCTAAGCCCTGAAGAAATGGACAGAGTTTGTGAGCAGACTTTTCAGAGATACACTAGTGTTAGTGGTTTGGTTAATAGGAAAGGTAAAGGGGTTGCAATTGTTTGGTTCAGGAATGACTTGAGAGTGTTGGATAATGAAGCTCTTTTTAGAGCTTGGGTTTCATCTGAAGCAATATTGCCTGTTTATTGTGTTGACCCTACACTTTTTGGGACTACCCATTACTTTGGATTGCCCAAAACTGGAGGTAATCACTTCACTCTTTTTTTAATTCTGATTTCTTTGCTTGAATCTTGTATTGTGACCTTGTCTTTTTCTCTTTGACAGCTTTAAGGGCACAATTCATCATGGAATGCTTAACCGATTTGAAAAGAAATCTAGTGAAGCGGGGACTTGACCTATTGATTCAACATGGTAAACCAGAAGAGATTATCCCTTCCCTTGCTAAAGCTTTTAAAGCACACACAGTTGAGGAGCTTCTTCTTTCATATTCATTTTCTTTCTTCAATTTTATACTACATAGTAAGGTAAGGACTAAGGAGGTGTGTGCTTATGTTACAGGTGTATGCCCACAAAGAAACATGCAGTGAGGAAGTAAAAGTAGAAAAATTGGTCACCAGAAATTTGCAAGAATATGTACCACCATCAACTGGTGGACTAGGCAATGAACCAAGATCTACAAATGCTACTAAACTGGAATTGATCTGGGGTGGTACTATGTATCATATAGATGACCTTCCATTTGACTGTGAGAATTTACCAGATGTGTACACTCAGTTTCGTAAGGTATTATTCTTCACAATATGTTTACGAGACTTGCAATTCAGGATACTTTCTCATATCTCATCTGTTAGCTATCTTTTTTATGGTTAAACTTAACAGTCAGTGGAATCCAAATCAAGAATCCGTAATTGCATTAGACTCCCAGCATCACTTGGTCCACCACCAGAGGTTGGAGAGTGGGGATGTGTCCCACAAGTTACTGAGCTCGGGCTTCAGTCGGAAAAGGCAGGTCAACATTAGAGTTGTATAAAAAGAACTTTTGATGATATAACTCCAATTTTTATCCTCATGTTTCCATTTTTTTTACAGATTTCTAAAGGAATGAAGTTTATGGGAGGTGAAAGTGCTGCAATTGGTAGGATACATGATTACTTCTGGAAGAAGGTGAAGGACCTTTATTTTATCTGCCATTACTGTGCTGCTATTCAACATGAATCGTTCAAATTTCATCTCGGGTTTCTGTGCTTTTTTGTTCTTTCCATTTCTTTTGTTTCAGGGGGGGGCAGCGTGACCCTAGTTATTTTGGTTAATTCTTTCCCTGTCTTTTTCGTTTCTTTGGTGCAGCGATAGAGTTATTCATTTGATGTACCTGTTGACCATGGGTCTAAAGCCTGTCAAACTAGCCTCTTTGCAGAAATGCAAGGGTAAAGCTGCCTAGGGTAGCCAGAAACACTTCATGCACAGTGTTATCCCTTCTTTTTTCTTTTCACAGTGATGCCTATGATCATCATGCTTTTGGGTGCTGCATTGGTCCCTACGTATTTTAAACAGTGATAAATTACCTGGTGTTTCTGAAATTAAACCTTCTTCTGTTTCTACTCTACTATAGTCATCTACTAGATGGCCAGGACTCGGGGAATTTGCTGACCTAATATTTTTACTGGTTTCTAATAGAGAGACGCGACCTAGGCGAATGATGACATGACATATTCTAATTCTTCTGGTTTTTGATTGATAGCAGGATTTACTGAAAGTGTATAAAGTGACTCGAAATGGAATGTTAGGACCTGATTATTCGACAAAGTTCTCTCCTTGGCTTGCTTCAGGAAGCCTATCTCCTCGTTTTATATATGAAGAGGTAGACAACTTTTTCTCATATTGTAATGTTTCATTAACAGCCTTCTTGTTCTAGTAAGTTATAAAGATTAAGAAAGCTTTGTTTGACTTGTTAAGGTGAAGAGATACGAGAAGGAAAGACAATCAAATGATTCGACATACTGGTACGACGTCCTCCCTTCTTCCTCGTCTTCCTCTTGCAATCTTACGAATATGCTTGTATCGTCTTTATGCATTTTTATGTTGATGAAGGCTGTGAGAGGAGATTGACTCTAGTAAAGATAGTTTGTTAGTACCAAATCTGGTGCCCCATATTCCTCACAATATGCATACACCGGACAGGTGTATATTTGATGCCTGATTTCCGTTTTCAGGGTTTTATTTGAACTGATATGGAGGGACTATTTCAGATTTCTCTCAATCAAACAAGGAAATTTGCTTTTTCATGCAGGTAAAAAAGACATATTCTTATCTGAATGCATATTAACACACCCCATATTCTAATCAACTCCTCAAGAGGAATTTTGCTGCTTGCTTTTATCTAATATAAGTACTCTGTAGGTTCATTCTCCTTTTTCCGTCTGGGAATTATCGACATCTGAAAATATATCTTTGCTTGTTTTTCTTTCTCCATTTAGGTGGTCCTCGAAAAGTAGATATTAACTGGAGCCAAGACCAAACCATGTTTGATGCCTGGAGACAAGGTCAAACCGGGTAAATTCCTATCTAGGGGCTGTCCAAGCACCTGTTGTTTAATAAATACATTACCTTCGTACCTTGCATGTTGATTGCTCCTTTCTCCTCATCAAACCCAAATGGATGTCCTAGTATGAAGTTCAAATCTGAGGGAACATGTGAAAATAAATATGTTCTACATTTCCATGGGATGAGAAATTGTTAATTTTCCCAATGCAAAATCTGTAGGTATCCTTTAATTGATGCCAACATGAAAGAACTAGCTTCTACTGGATTCATGTCGAATCGAGGACGACAGGTACATGTGCACTTTATTTTTAATATTTTCGAAAAGTTACATGCTAGTTTGTTACCTAGTAAACAGTTTTGGAAGATAAATTCATCAAGAAAGAAGGCAATTTACTGCATTCTAATTACTTTTATCTTTTTCCCAGATTGTGTGTTCTTTTCTTGTTCGAGATATGGGCATTGACTGGCGGATGGGAGCTGAATGGTTTGAGACATGCCTCTTGGATTATGATCCTTGCTCCAACTATGGAAACTGGACATATGGAGCAGGTGATTCTCCTTTTATTATCTACCTTTGATATATCCACTTTCTCTAAACTGGAAGTTGGAATTGTGAGTTGAAACTTCTGCTATTCCTTTTCTGTCAGGTGTTGGCAATGACCCTAGAGAAGACCGTTACTTCAGCATCCCGAAACAAGTAAGTGCAATAAGGAAATAAATATTATTTTTGATAGAATCATGTTCTGGGAATCCTATGCTATTCACCCACTATGAGATTGATGTTATTCTAAGACAATTTTACATGTTTCAGGCTCAAAACTATGATCCTGAAGGGGAGTTTGTTGCATACTGGTTGCCAGAGCTGAGAGCACTTCCGAGGGAGAAAAGACATTCTCCTGGAATGATGTACTTAAAGCCAATTGTTGCTCTCAAACATGGATATACCAAGAAGACTGGTGATTCGAAAATGCCATCTGGATCTAGAAGAGCCAAACCAGAAGACAATCGACGGAAGGGACACGGAGATAGAACGTATTAGCACCGTTGCCAATATAGGCTACTGATCTTCAGAACATTTCTCACCAAGTTACAACTGAGATCAGAAACATTAGCTGCAGCATACTGATTCTGAAATATATCTGTGAGTAGAACTAACCTGATCCCATTGGTTACTTGGAGGCTTTTGTAACAAAGATTGTGAAATTGGCTATTACCACTTGGCTTTGTTTTATAGAGAAATGGGAACAATCTATTACAGATTTTGTAGTGTCCTGAAAATGAAGTACCTTGGACCATCTTACACAGTTCTTGAATGATTTTTCTTGACTTGGATAGCTCCATATAATCCAAACATCAGTCTGGTAAAGATATCACATCCATGATAATCCGAACAAAACAATATCATTGATGTGAATTTTGATATGCTGTTCTAAACGATAATCCGAACCGAAAAAAGTGTTCCTTGTTTGGCGGTATCATGTTATTGGATTAATGGTTCGGAACGATTTGGAACTATATGACTAACGAGTTATCTGGTCAGATATCGGTTTGTCCAATTTCATCATCAGTTTAACCAATAACCTGATATGATATACTTAATTTACCCTTGGCTATATAAAGTAATGTTTACTCTCTTTAGGGCTGAAGGAATCCAATGCTTCTAGTTGAGTTTAGCATATTTAAAAACTGAAAACTGATTAATCGAACCCATAATTACAAAAACCAAACCAAACCGAACCATCAACACTCCTACTTGAGTTGTCTTCACTTCCTCTTAGTCATAAGCTTGTTTTTTAAACATCTGTTCCTGGATCCTTACTCTTGAAATGAATTTAACTGGTCAAAATTAAACTAATTATTTTGTTTAGCGATAAACGAAAGGAACTTTATTAAACATGATACAAAATGGTGGAATAAAATGTTTGTCTTATAGCTTGATCTAAAACCTTGCAACCAACAAGAAGTCTCACTTATATAGCCCTTTATCTTTCAGGGTACCCTTAAAAACAAGAAACTGAACACACTCATACTAAAGAAAAGAGAAATAATGTAGACCAAGCTGGAGTTTCTTCTTTTATTCTTCCAAGAATTCAATTTAGAGCTATTCTTGCTCCCTGTGATTTGTTGGAATCAAGTAGAGGTCATCTTTGCTAGCTGCAAAAACTCTACTTGTTTCAGCGGTGCGAAAATCATCTGCATTAACCTTATCAGGGAGTTTCCAGTCAAAGCAGTAGAGCAACTGAGCTAAAGGATGCCCAGTGTTAACTAAACCAAACGACATTCCTGGACACATTCTTCTTCCTGAACCGAAAGGAATGAACTGATAGTGATTTCCCATAAGATCAACAGAAATACTTTCAAATCGCTCCGGTTTGAAACATTCAGGATCTTCCCAACTTTGAGGATCTCTTCCAATTGCCCATGCATTAACCATTACTCTAGCTTTAAGAGGTACAGTATATCCATCAATCTCGGTTTGTTCTCTGCATTCTCTAGGTCCTAATAAAGGAACTGGAGGATGCATCCTTAGTGTTTCTTTGATCACTGATTTTAAGTATGGCAACTTGTCAAGATCATTTTCGTCGAAGTTTTCATTTTCTTTGAAGACTTTTCTCACTTCAGCTTGTGCCTTGGCCATAACACTTGGGTGCTTCATCAATTCTGATAGTGCCCAAATAATTGCAGTATATGAAGTTTCAGTTCCAGCAATAAACAAGTCCTGCAACAACGTATACAATAAGCATTTATTAAAAATTATTTATATATAGTATTGTCAATGTATATAACTTAAATCTATTAAAAAGAAAGTAGAAAAAGATCAATATATGATAATGACATAGGATCAAAACTTACCAGAATTACTGCTTTCATGTTGTCATTTTCGATAGGATATTGAAGCTCATTATTCTCCTTAGCCCTCAGTAAAGCATCAATCATATCTTCGCCACCAAACTCGTTATTTCCCTTTATCCCTGCTGCATGATTCTCTTTGTGCTCATTGATGATATTCTCCATAATTAGATCATACTTATGGTGCACATTCGTCAATCTAGCTTTCATGTTGCTCATATTATGAAGTAATTTCCATGAAGGGAACAAATCACCCACATCAAATCCTCCTGATAATGCTAGTATCTCCCTTATTAACATAATCAATTCATCACGATCGTTGCATATTTTTCCAAAGGCTAATCTACAAGTCATGCAACTTGTAAACCAGAGAAGCTTTTCGTTTATGTTCACTGCAGAACCTGTTGCCAAACGAATCGATGAGAGGAGCTTCGAGAGCTCATCCTTTCGGATTGTGCTAAATGACTTGAGCATCTTGTTACTCAGGAGTTCTTGTGTCAATAGTTTACGCATCTGTCTCCAGTAATCGCCATATGGGGCGAACGAAATGTCCCTGCTTTTGTAAAACACAATGTCCGAGGACATGAATCGTGGCCTAGTTGCAAAAGCGAGGTCATGAGTTTTTAGTACAGCTTTTGCTACACGTGGCGAAGATATTACAACTACAGGAACTTCTCCAAGTTGTAAATACATGAGAGGTCCATATTTTCGGGCTAAATCTCTAAGATTATGGTGTGGGAGTTTACCTTTCAAGTGATGGAGGCTGCCAATAAGGGGAAGTCTCCATGGACCTGGAGGTAACTTTTGGATTTTCGTATTCCAATTTTTCAATAGGATAAAAAGAAATGAAATGAAGAGTAGCAAAGCAATTAAGTTGAAAGGAGAAGACTGAATATCCATTTTACTAAGTAAGAAAAGGAAGGAAGGTTTTGATAGATATGATGCTTTGTTGGTAATAACTTCTATATATATATATACACAGAAGTTGAAGAATAAGCATGGGATTTTAGAACGCCAGTGGTATACCTTGTGATTTGGGCTTTACATATTTTACTTTGAAACCTTCTAGTACTTCAGTCTTATAAGAAATTCAGGAAAAAAAATCAGAAATAATCAGGTTTACAACTAGTAATTAAATAGTCATAATTCCAAAATTAACCGAAATTTTGTCACTTTTTCGCGTAAAGATAAAATATGAACAAAAACACTCTTAAAAATTCGGAAATGAATTTTTAACAATTACCAGTCCGAAAGCTAGCTAGCCCGTGCTATTTTCACAAGAAATTCTCAAATTGGTTCAGGATTAATTAAAGGATATTATATGATACGCTAATACAGTAGTTGGGGTGTACTTATTTTCACTACTTTTCTAGTGACTGTGACTTGTTGTGTGGGTTATTTTTATTTTTGGCCTAGCGTCAATACGATTGGTTATATTTGGGAAAGTAAAACACAGCATACTATATTTTATACGAATAGAAAGAAAAGACAGACACTTGGTTGAAAGCAATTTTAGCTTTACATTGTGGAAATTCCCACATATGCATTGCAAAAGTCTTATATGTACATCCATTGACCGTGAGAAGTTTTATTTTGTGTCTCATACAACTGACACTAGTTGTATGAGGCTCATTTTTTTCTCGTAAAATTGTGGACCCCAATCTTACACTTTTGAGTCCACAGAATTCGGGATCCACAAAATTGTAAGACAAAAAGTTACCTTATACAACTAGTATAAGTTGTATGAGACACAAAATAAAATTTTCCATTGACCGTTGATAATGTGAAAGTTTTGACAGCGAAATACCTCAACTTTATGAAAAAGCATTTAGTTACAGAAATTGTCATATCACTTTTTTGTTCTTGTGTAAGTTTAAATAATTGAAACATGGGTATTTGATTGAAAAGGCGAGCTACAGAATCCAAATTGAGATTGAGTTGTCATTTCACTTATTGAAGAAAATTGAGGTCTCAATCATTGAAAACACCAGTTAGTACTGTGGCCTCTTTTTGCTAACTTTCTTCTCTTTTTCTTTTTCAAATACGTACTCTTACAAATATATCATCTTTCATCTTTGTCGTAAATAAACAGATTCTTTTAAATCAAGTATCGAATGCCTTTTTCTTCTTTTTTTTTTTTGGGGGGGGAGCAAGAAATATACATAGAAACTTTCTAGAAGCAACTATATAACCACTAACTTGAACTAATACATGATTAAATGAATTATATTAAAAAGGATTATATATGTTCAAATAATGTTATTGATTCTTCGAAATAAATGTGAGCTAAATTATTAATCAATATAGGAGTGCCATATTGTTTTATAATCCCTGTTTTTTCCATTCTAAATTATTTTCTTTGATTTGAGCACCAAAAGGATGTATTTTGAACAAATGACTATGTGAATCTTTTTTACAACGTGCTGGTCAAAATCTGACCACAACGATCAGGCCGACCAACGCCCCTTTCAAACGATGAAACGAGAAGGAATAATCCCAAAGGACGATCGAGGCACACGAGGCATGAAAAAGTGTCGAGTCAAGTATACATCAGGAGACCTATGACTATAAATAGGGAAGAAAGATCTCCGAAGAGGGGGTGGACTGGGGAGGAAAACAGAACTCTCCCTTGAGCTCTCCAGCTCTCCAGTTTTCCAGTTCTCCATCTATCTCTCCCTTTATAACTTTGACAAAGAGAAGGAGGAGCGAAGCAATCCTCGGCGATTGATGCAATATGCAACATGTTCTTCTCCATCAATCAATGAGAACAATACTGAAAAGTTTCAACAAAATCATTTATCTTCATTTCTTTTTATATTTTACTTCTCATCTAGTTCATTGATCTAGAATTTATTATGTGTCACTGAGATTTACCCCATCATTTTTTTTGATTGATATTCAAAAGGTTATAATATCTTTTGAGTCGAACAATACGCCCACATACTAAACAAAACGTAAAGAAAAACAAAAGAATTGATACGCCTAACAAAAACAATTTGGAAAGATATTCAATTCTGCAACTATGTCCTGCCAGCCGAACTAATCCTACTTTCTCAGTGTTATGTTGAGTAAGAGGCAAACCCGAAAATAAAGAAGATAAAGAACACCAAATTTTAACGTGGAAAACCCTTCAAATCGAAGGTAAAAATCATGGGATCACAAAGATCCGAAAAGCTCCACTATAACAATAAGAGGGTTACAAAAGTTCTCCAAATTGGCTACACAACAAGGGTCAAACACGGAGCAACAATAGCAACAACTAATCAATTGAAGAAAGAGTATCCACAAAAATGAAGCTGCTGTCCGAGGCTCGAAATCAGATGCTACGAGCCTCCAAATCCGATCTCCACCATTCAAATCCAAGATCAAGATTTACAAACACTCAGTAAAAATTTCAGCCCGATCCAACGGTTAACGAATCGAAAAACATGATTTGAAGTTGGCTGGTCGGAATAAAAATTTGCAGCAAAACAAATACTTTTCT